CATGTTCTTACATGCTATCATGCTTGTCCTCGTGCTAACTGTCAAGTCGTACCATGCAGCTGCGTCCCTTCCGGCCTCGCCGCTGATAACCCCCATCCTGCTGGATCCGGCCATGGTGTTGATCTCCACCGGAGGGAATCGGGAAGAGTGGATCTGCACGCAAGTGGGCTGTGGGAAGGCGAAGGGGAAAAGCTTCATGACTGCAGCAGATCATGTCACCTCTGCGAACCACCTCATTCACCTGGAGAAGCTCGGATCTGCGACACGTGTCTCACTCGAGCGTGCAAGCCTCAATGTCACGAAGAAGGAGTATGGGCTCTAAGGGAAGAGCAGCTCGGTCAGCACACAGCAGCAGCAGCAGTAGTCCTTGCAGTAGTTGGTGCCGTTCTTTTCTTTACCCTGTGGATGCGTAGGGGTTTTCAAGCTGTTATCAAATGAGGAAAAAAAGCCTCATCAGTTTCACGGGCCTTAACGTCAACGGCCTAGGAGATAAGACTAAACAGCAGCGAGTCCTCAACTGGTCTAGACAAGCAGCAGACATTATTGTCCTCTCTGACACTAGGATAGCATCCGATCACCAACTATGGTCCCATCCGACTTACAGTTTAGCGGTAGCAGCCTCACCTACGACGAAGGCTGGCGGTGTGGCTCTGCTCTGCCGCTCGCCCTTACTTAGGTTCTCCAGTGTACTGGTCCATCCGTCTGGTAGATTAGTGTCCGCGGAGGTCCATGGCCTTGGGTTGCAGCTTACCATCATAGCCTGCTACCTCCCAGCCAGCGCGTCTTCTCGTGCGGCCTTTCTCCGCGACTCCCTTGGCCCAGTGGTAGACTTGATCCCGCCGTCCAACCACCTGCTTATCATAGGCGATCTTAATATCATAGAAGACCCGGTATTAGATAAGTCGTCGCGCATAGGTTCTACTGCGGAAAACGATAGACTTCTCGCCCGCTGCACTACTTTCCAGCTCTCAGACGCTTTCCGCACGCTTTATCCAAGGAAACGGGAGTTCACCTTTTTCTCTCAGGCGAAGCAGGCTAGCACGCGCATTGACCGAGCTCTTATCTCTCACTCACTCTTACCTCACCTGATCCAGGCCTCTCACGTGATGCCAGTGAAGCACATATCAGATCACAGCTTTGCGATTCGGGTGGCTCTCCGAATTGATGCCAAGATCTGCATTGGTCCCGGCCTCTGGAGGCTTCACGCGTCAATGGTCCACAAGCAAGGGGTTCGGCGCATTGTGGAAGCGACGGTGGCGAAATGCGTTGTCACTGACGGTAGCAGCTTCGAGTTACTTCTTTCGCGGCTGGCATTTGGGCTTCGGGCCTTCGCAAGAGAAGAAGGCAAGCGGGTGAAGGCAACAGTGACGCATCTAGCTGATGAGGTTGCGGAGCTTTGTCAAGAAATGATGCGAGACCCATCCTGCAAGGCAACAAGCGCACGTTTAGCTGTGAAGGAGGCGCAACTGCGGGAGTACCAGGCGTCAAGAAAGGACAAGTTATACCTGATGTCTGGTATGCGGATGGAGCTCCGAGGGGAAGTAGCGTCGAAGCATCTGACGGCGATGGTGCAGGCTAAGAAGGCGAGTACTCAGATTGCGGAGCTGCAGTCGCTGTCTGGTGTTGTTTCCGACTCGCAAGGTATTCTTCGGGCGGCATCGGAATTCTTTGCAGACATCTTCGGGCGGGATCGGTGTCAGCTGGAGGATGACTGGCGACCTGCGAAGGAAAGGAAGCTGAGGGGCTGGGAGGCAGAGGAACTGGCGGCAGACTGGACGGAAGAGGAGGTGAAAAAGGCCTTCAGTGCGATGGCGGCAAACAAATCCCCGGGGAAAGATGGTCTGCCGAAGGAGCTATTCGAAGCGCACTGGGACCTGCTGGGAAAAGGCTTCATGGCCTTAGCAAAGGATTTTGCGTCGTCAGCAACTCTCTCAACGGGAGTAAAAGAGGCAGTTACGATACTTCTGCATAAGAAAGGAGATAAGGACCAACTCAACAACTACCGCCCCATCACCCTTCTCAACTTCACTTACAAGGTGTTGGCGCGGGTTGTGGCTGACAGGATGAAGAAGTTTCTGAGCCGGGTGATCTCGCCGGAGCAATATGGGTTTCTCCCAGGAAAGCAGCTGACGGATGCGGTGGGGCTTGTCGCTGACATCATCGACACGGCACGGAACGACAATGAGGACGGTTCCTCCTCTTGGTCGACTTCAAAAAGGCAGTTGAATCCGTTTCCCGCGGCTACCTTTTCCGCACTCTACGGGCAATGGGCTTCCCTGATCGACTGGTGCGTTGGGTGGAAGGCCTGCACGCGGGAACACAGACGAGACTGTTAGTCAATGGCTGGATGGGGGAAGGCGTGGAGGTGGTCTCCGGGGTCCGGCAAGGCTGTCCCCTTGCTCCGTACCTGTTTCTGTGCGCGGTTGAGCCACTGGCGCAAATGGTCCTGAAGCGGAAGTTAAGAATCAGCAGGGCGAGCGAGCGGTTGGCCTACATCGGCTATGCAGACGACACCACCCTGATCCTGGAAGGGAAGCAGCAGATCATCAGAGCCGAGCAAGTGCTAGCGAAGTTTGAGTTGACCTCGGGGTTAGCAACAAACAGGGACAAATCAGTCATCTTACCGTTGGGGAACAATCTCGGCAGAACGACTGGTCGGGCAAACGGTTTCCGCTGGGCGAAGGCAGAGGAAGCGGAGAAGCTGCTTGGGGTATGGATCACTCCCTCGGGAAGCTGCCTGCCAACATGGGAAAAAGCTGCGGAGGATGTGACGGGAAAAAACAAAAAATGGCAGCCGAAATTTCTTCCAACGGCGGCAAGGACGACGGTAGTCAACTGCTACACGATGCCAAAGGCAGCATTCCAGGCGCAGGTCTACCCGCCGCCAGCGAAGCTATGGGGCACTATCTCAAAGACTTTCCATAACTTCGTCTCTGGGAATAAAGCAACATCCGACACGGTGTTCAGGCTCTGGAGCAAGGATCTACTTCACACTCTGAGGAAGCTGGGGGGAGTGGGGGTGCACGATCCGGAGATGATCCTGGCGTGTCTCACAGCCCGCCGCGTGGGTTTGCTGGCGCTAGAGACGAACGAGCTGAAAAGGCACCTCATGACGCGGGCGGCGGACTTGCCCATGGGCATTGAGACTTTTTTCGCTCATGAGAAGCTGCTCAAGCACTGGGAGGGGAAGAGTCCTCGCTGGAAGGTGGCGGTTGAAAACTTCATGAAAACGCCGCTGGGCAATCTCCCAGAGGCAAGCACTCGCGAGGCGGTGGAAAAGGAGCGGATCGTCTTCAACAAGCGTATTTTGCTGAAGGAAACCACGCCGGTTGGGGGGCAAAAAGACGCGAAGCCGCTGTGGGAAAAAAGGCTAGGTGATCTGCTCGCGACCGACGGGACCGGCGCTCCTGTACTCAAAACCCTGGCTGTGCTAGAACGGGAGCTGGGCGGGAAGGCATCTGCAAAGTTAGCAGTGAGGGCGTTCGAGGCTGCTCCCCAGAGATGGAGAGAACTGCTGCTCAGTGCGCCTACTCAGGGCACTCAGGGGAACACATCGGCCGGATCTCAGAGGGTTTACCATTCTGCGGGGCGCAAACTTACTGACTTCCCCATCTTTGAGAACGGGGGGTTTGCGCCCATGAAGCGGTTGAAGCTGCTCTGGAGGGAGGGGCAGAAACCATCTGCGAAGCAGTTACTGTGGAAGGGTAGATGGAGCGGGCAGATAAACTGGAAGCGGACTATTGCCATTCGGGATTCGTTGGCTACACCGAGCAAACCGAGAGATCTTCTGCTGCGGGTTCATAACCTTAATCTGCAAGTGGGAGAGCGGGTGGCGTTTCTGAGCAGCAAGCCGGTCTGCCCTTTCTGTGGAGGTGTGGAAACCCTAGAGCACTGCCTTTACAGCTGCCCGAAGATACAACCGGTGACCTCGGCGCTCCTGAAAACCCTCCGAATGATGAACGCCTCACGCACAGTGTCTTCCCTCGGAGACCTGTTGTTCCGGAAGGTAGGCTCCATCTCAGCTTTCCCGGAAGCCACGATTACATCAATCACGCTTCATCAGCTGTGGCTGGAGTGGTGTGATGCTGTCTTCAGGGGGCAAAGGTTCCGGGCGAGGCGGGTGCTCCGGAGGGTTGAAACGGCCTTTCGGCTACATGCAAGGTTGTACACGCGGACAAGAGAAGCGTGGTGGAAGAAATGTCAGGGTACACGCCAGGAGGAGAAGTTCCGTCGCACAATGGAGAAAGATGACAAGGTGCTGCTTCGGATCAGGGACAAAAATAGCAAGTCGTGGACGTGGACAAATGCATTTACAAACGTCTGGCTCGCACCGAGGATGACTCACCGACCTCCTTAGAGGCCACACTTGGGGCGGCCGTGTGGCTTCCCCTCATGCACAGTTACGACTGTTATTGATTATGTATGCTTGTTCTGTTCGGTGTACATTTCAATTACCTAAAAAAAAAACTACAAGATATTCTAAATGGTATACACGTACAAACTTTTCATGACCCTAAAAAATGGGTTTCTTTTTTTTCCTGCAAATACATGGTTACTGGTAGATGATCACTTTTGTTGAAGGGACGCTTCGTTGGCACAGTTATCATAGAATAGATTGGATGCAGTTCCCTAATTGCCCATGTTCCTTGTACTCTATTCGCAAGGCATCAACAAGCAATGTGCAAGAGTCGTTCCATTCCAGTCTAGTATATTACAAAAGCATGTCCAAACTTGTATGGTGTATCTTTGCAATTGAGAGCAACACTGCACTTCAGCTGTACACAAGCCACTCATGACCCTAAAGACCACCTCTGCAGATGTGTTGGAAGAAATGCAAATGGTAACCCACCCTACTCCCTACACATGAGCAATAAGCTCACAAAAAGCCAAGGCCAAGGTATTTTTAAACTAGGAAGGTTGGTTGGGGCGAGAGATGCTATTAGCCCAGATTTTGAGCAGGCACTCCAGCTGTTCCAGCTTACCCTCTATCATCCCTCTCATCAAATTTCCTCAACTCTCCTCTTCAACAGCCGCTCCCTCATCTTCCCCACAACCCAGCGCGGCACCTCCCCTCTCGCCTGCGCCTCTCTCCTCCCCTCTTTCACCGACTCATACATCCCCCGTCGTCGCCTCGCCGCCTTTCTATCTGCCCGGTGCGCCCGCACAAAGAGCTCATGCGCACCTGCTGCATTCCCCAGCGCCTCCTCCACCTCTGCTGCCTGCTGCAGCGCTGCTGCATTGCCCGGCTGGGTTGTTAGGGCCAGTTCTAGGAGCGAGCGGGCCTTTAATAGATTTCCTTGCTGCCTCTCCAAGCATGCATATGCCTGTAAGACAAGAGGGGGATGGGGGGGGAGAGGGAGGGATGAGAGTTATGAAAGGGGTGGGATGGCACACTACCTCACGCAACACTGCAACAAGGCAGGCCTGCGGATCCCCTTCTCCCCCCACCACCCCGCCCCCCCCAGAAAAAAACCCTTCCAAGGTGAGGTGGAAATGGAGGGAGCATACCTGGAGAGTGGGGGCTGAGTGAGGAGCGGCCTCAAGGCCGCGGTCAAACAGCCTCCTTGCCGCATCAGCATCCCCCTCTGCATGCTCCATCACACCCCACGCCTGCAGCGCCCGCACACACCCAGGCTGCACCTCCAAACATCTCCGAAACAGCCTCCTGGCTGCCTCTCTGCTCTCAGGTGTGGCTAGGCGGGCCTCCTGACACGCCCACGCGTGCAGAGTGGGAATGGACTTGGGGTTGGCTGATAGTGCGGAGCTGAAGAGTGAACGCATGCGGTCTGCCCGGCCAGCCTTTGCTTCGAGGAGGGCCCATGCCTGCGGTGGAATGAGGGATAGGAGGGAGGGCATGGGCGGGGTGAGGAGGTGGTGGCTTCTTCGCATGCAGCTCCATGTGAGGTGACTGCGATGCCACATGTTGAATTGCGGGCAGCATACTAATAGGGAGAGATCGAGAGCAGCGAAAACAAAAAATCAAGACGGAATAAAGAGGGAGCAGAGAGCAGCAGCAAGCGACTGAGCGAACAGTAGTCAATGAGTGAACATACCTGCCAGGACGCAGCGTCAAGAGGGGCAGCAGCAGTGGCCTTCTTGAAATAACACCGGGCAGCACCCAGGTTCTTCACGGAAGCTTCTAGGAGAGCGCGTGACTGCAGAACCACCGGGCTGCCCGGCTGAATCTTCTCTGCCTGCTCCAGCAGGTTACGGGCAGCCTGAAAGTTCCCTTCGCGCTTCTCAGCCATAGCCCAGGCATGAAGGCCATTTACAAGGCTTCCAGTATCTTTCAGAGATTGCCCCGACTGTTTTGTTCTGCCCTGCTGCTCCTGTAGTTGCTGGTAGCCTGGTTCTCCCCGCGTCAGTGTCACCATTGACCGTTGAAACAGCTGTCTGCTGGTAACCATGTCACCCTCCTCCGCCTGCATCCCGGCCCACGCCTGCAGGCACCGCCCCAGGTGATTCCTCGGGTGCCCACCCTCCTCTGCTGCTCCGTCACTCATAAGCTCCGCAGGCCCTCTCTCTGCCGAGTGCCTGGCGTCTGAATGCCTTGCGTCGCTGTGGTGGTTCACAACAGCATCCCCTGAGTGCGGGGAGCCAGTGCCAACCGCCAGAGCCTCCTCATAGCCCTGTGCACTGCGGCGGTACCACGCCCTGGCGGCTGCTGTGTTGCCCGCCTTCCTCTCTGCCAGCGCCATGTGCTCCTGGACTTGAGGGTTCGTAGGTTGCTGGGATAGCAGCTGCGGGAGACAGGGATGACACGGGGAGACAGGGGGACGAGGGAAGCAGGGAGAGTGTGAGTGAGGGACACAGAGAAAACAGGGTTGCCTGCCTTCGTACAGGACGTGGGAAACAAGAAGTTGGGCGGGAAATGACGCACGGCTGCATGCTCCCAGCACCTGTACTCCTCCATGCCTTTTCACACCTCCTCACCCACTCCCTTCGTCTTCCCCTCTCCCCGCCGCCCTTCACTTGGCCTCGCTCCAGCTGCTCGACACTCACCTCGTCCAGCAGGGCTCTAGCAGTCGTCATTCCGCTCCGCGTCCCCCCACTCAGGTGCCGCCTCACGGCCTTCAGCGCGCCTGCCACTTCCGCCCCGCCCCGCCGCTCCCCCTCCCTCTCCCCCTGCATCTCCGCAGCCTGCGCCTCCTCCGCACCCCTTCCTACTTCCTTAGCCCACAGTTGTTGGTCTGGAACTTCTGTGGTTTCTATCGCCGCTCGCCTGATTGCCGACGGCGGACGCGCTAAGCTCAGTCTCACTGTACGCTTGTGGGACACTCCCCGCCAGTTCTCGCCCGCGTTCTCCGCCTCCCTCCCCCCTTCCGCCTCTTGAACTGCGTCGACTGCCCGCGACGGCGCGAATTCGGGCAGCGGGGTGCGCGGAGCGGCGGAAACGGGCGCAGGAGCGGAAGCGGGGCACAAGTCGGAAGCCAGCAATGGGGACAGGGATAAGGGAGGGGAGAGCGGGGAGGGGGAGGAGGAGGAGGAAGAGGAGGAGGAGGAAGGGGAGGTGGGTGTGGAAGGCGCAGAGAAGAAAACATCGTCCGCTTCAGTCACATCAGCCTTTGTCGCATCATTCGACCCTTCGTTATAGTCATTAACTAGCGCGTCGCCCCCCTGCTGGCGCTGCTGCTGCAACTTCTGCCTTTCCCTTCTCACCCTCACTGCCGCTTCGGATAAGGCTTTAGGGGACGGATGCCTGCCACGTGGCGCCCCAGGAGAGCCTGAAAGCTCGGGATTCACGACAGGCAGCAGATTTGATCTTCCGCTGCTGACCACGAACGGCGTAGAATCTTCAATCTGCGACACATCTGACGGCAGACGGACGCTGGATGCGGCGTTTCGAGGGGCGTCAACAGAATCAACGGCGTCAACGCGGTCAACGGGGTCAATGGCGAGAGGAACTCGAGGTTTCGAACGGCGCTTTCGCGGGTACTGCCGCTTGCGACCCGACGGCAACAGCAGAATCCACTCGCCCTCCTCGTTCATTCCCGCGAATCCCTCCACCTCGCCGCTCAGGATTTGCGCGTCCGTTGAGTACGCCTCGGGAATGCCGCGACTCGATAACGAGTCCTCGAGCGCCGCGGCAGCGGCAGCTGTGGTAGAAGCAGCGGCAGAAGCGGAGGTAGCGGCGGCGGCAGGGGAACGTGCAGCAGCGGCGGCTTGTCGTCGGGACGTGTCGAGGAGGGACGGAGCCGCATCTGTTGCCGCGATCCGGGATGCCTTGCTGCCGGGTCGCGCCGCGTCCGGTTGGTTTGTGAAGGCGCGAATCGAGGGCGGCAAACGCCTCGAGAGAGGTCGCGTGACGGATGTGCGGCTAAGATTGGCTCTCGATACTGTCACTCGCGCGATTCCTGCGAGGGACGAGCGGCGGAAGCTGACGATAGCGTGATGACGGCGAGGGGTATGCGCGGCGAGAGGCGGACCTGCGAACGGGGATCATAAGGGGGGTATAAGTTCAGCATTGAATAAGGCTACTTATGAGGAAGCTATTTTTAACCAAACAAAGCGCTTGGGTGTTCTTATGTGAATCCGCGAGTCAACATACGATGATACGACGAAACAGCGAGATAAGGCCGCGGAAAGGCAGCCGGAGAAGAGAATAAAACGAGGATCGCAGCAGGAAAATTCGCACCAGAAAATGATGGTAGATGCTGGCGAGAGGTGGACTGAGTTCTCATGGCTGTGCAGGGGACTGCCCGGCGGGAAAGGTCGGAAACAGCGGCGGTCGCCATGGCTGGCTGATGTGAATTGTGGGACGCAAGGAAAATTGACGCTGCTCTGAACTAGTGGGCACGGAAATACGCCCTGTAACTAAGGTGGAGGCGGAGTTGTGATGAGAGCTGAGGTATTTTGAGAGCGTCAAGTGCGGAAGGCAAACAAAAGAAGGGCGACTGCGAAAGGCTCAGATTGTTGAGAATGAGGTAAGGCCTAGGACGTTCTCGGTAAGGAAATCAAGAAGTGTGGGTGTGGCTCATACTTCCACTGCAGTCTGGAATTCCACCTACAATCTGCCGCACAGCTTAGCCGGTATGTCGTAGTGCAAGGACTAAACCTGATAGTGAATGACTATCAATCAATTCATGAAAGGAGCGGCAATGTCAAGGAAAACGGTACAGCCGGGGCGAAGCGCGTGTAGCATCTGGCAGCCATGGCTGTGGAGGAATGGTGGTGACATCGACGAGGGTGAAGCTTCGTTGGAAAAACGATGTGAGAGCTTCACGGGCAGACGAAAACGAAAATAATAATACGGCCAGTTAAGGTACTCTGGACCAATTATTGCCACCACAAGACTTTCACTTTCAGAAACATATGTTCACGGACTTCGCCTCCTTGCCAAATATTGCTACCAAGTTCAGCACTAAAAGCTGCACAAGTGTGTGACAACGGGCAGATCGCTCGAATGAGAAATGATGGTCAGCTTGGGTCATCCCGGAAAGATGTGAGAGGGCCACGACGACAGATGGTGGCACGCGACTGGCTCGATGATGCCCCACGTATCCCTCTGACGTTCTGAGCCCAGATGCGCCCAGCCATGAACCGCTCGCGTGGCTCTCTCAACGCCGTCGGTCGAGCGTGTATTGCGCATCTAAGATCTCGACGCTAGTAACGAGAACAGTTTGCCGAACTCTGTACACCAGTTCGGATACTGTGAACTTCATTAGTTTCAGGAGCAAAACTACTAGCTGACTTATCTGTACTTTGTAGTCATCGGACAACGGGGATGTAGCTCAGATGGTAGAGCGCTCGCTTAGCATGCGAGAGGTATGGGGATCGATACCCCACTTCTCCACATTTGCGTGGATAGATCAGTTGGGAGAGCGTCAGACTGAAGATCTGAAGGTCGCGTGTTCGATCCACGCTCACCGCATCTTGTTGTTTTCTAGCTAGTGACATCAGCTAAAAACACACTAGGTTTCCAGTTGAGGTTCATGGGTGTCATGGCCAAGAAGGCATTCATGAAAGAGGCTCCACTGCTCCTGTGTGCAGCACGTATCTTCAGTCTCAATCAACAAGAATAAAACCCATCGCTTCAGCAACCCATTTGAGTCGCAAGTGTACCCAGCAGCAGCAACACAAATTTTTCCTGAATCAAGCATAGGGCTTGTCCTGCATGGCCCAGCCAAATATCTGCTCGTTCTAATCAATGTGCAACATTCCCATTTCGTCAACCCGTTCGGCGCATACATAGTACAATCTACTCTTTTCATTCACAGCTCAAGCATAGGGCTTGTCCTGCATAGCCCAGCCAAAGATCTGCTCGTACTGCTCGGCTGCCTTGTTCCACGACATGTCCTGCAGCATGCCCCTCTCCATCACCCGCACCCACGAGTCCTTGTGCTCCCTGTATGTCTGAATCGCCGTCCACAGCGCCTGCATGGGTGTGGAGTGGTGGAAATGTGTGTAGAGTGGTGGTAAGGTGTGAGGAGTGGTGGTAAGGTATATGGAGAGGTAGTAGGGTACGTGGAGCAGCATGCCCCTCTCCATCACCCGCGCCCACGAGTCCTTGTGCTCCCTGTACGTCTGAATGGCCGTCCACAACCCCTGCATGGGTGCAGAGCGGTGGCAAGGTATGTAAGCAGTAATCAGGTATATGGAGGGGTAGTCATGTATGCAGAGGGGTAGTCGTGTATGCAGAGGGGTAGTCGTGTATGCAGAGGGGTAGTCGTGTATGCAGAGGGGTATTCAGCTATGCGGAGGGGTATATCAAGTATGTGCACGTCGTTGAAAAATCTTGAAAAAAAAGCAGAAAAGAGCCAATATTGAAGAGATTAGCAGACACACGCACGCACGCACGCACGCACGCACTCACACACACACGCACGCATGCATGCATGCACGCACTCACCCCCATCATGGCTTCCTTGGTGAGAGGTGAGAAGGTCCACCTGAGGGGCGAGACAAGGATGACATGCATCACAGGCGAGTAAGGGATCAGCAAAGGTGATTCAGTGTAAGGTGTAGGGTGAAGGGTGAGGAGAAAAGTCATGCATGTGAGAGACGAACAGCCAAAGAGGTACGTATAAAGCAACGGAGGCCACGTCTCGTCTAGCCACCCGTTTCTGCCCTCTTTACAACCCTTCCATCCCTTTGGCTTTCCCCTGGTGTCACGTCAACCCCTCTAACTCAATTGTACAGTACAGCCTCCCTCCACCCTTCATTTTCCCCCTTTGCCCGAGCCAACCATCTTCGCTTCTCCTTGCTCCCCTCCCCTTCCCCGTCAAATTGAAGGGAAGCATGTCATTCCTGCCCTCCCTCCTGGCCCTTCCTAGTCCCACCCACCCTTCCCTATCCGGCCCCCACCCCACCGAAAACCCTTTCCTTATCTCCCCCCTTCCCCCCCTCCGCTCACCCTGTGCCATCGCCCTTGCCCTCGTTGGCAAACGGGTTGAAGTCCTGAACCGTGTCCTGGGGTGGATGGAAGGGGTGGGAGATGGGCGGGGAGAAAGGGAGGGGTGGGAGGGAGCGGTGGGGAAGGATGGGGAAGGGATCATTTTTTACTCGACTCAAAAGTCACTTTGACACCTCCTCGTGTCGTCGCCCTTGCCCTCGTTGGCAAACGGGTTGAAGTCCTGAACCGGGTCCTGGAGTGGGTGAGAGAAAAGAGGGAGATGGGGCGTCGGAAGGGGAGAGGTGTGGGGTTGGGGGGGGTTGGTGGGGGGGAAGGGGTTGGGGGGAAGGAAGGGGGAGGGGGGAGATGACGGGAGATGGGAGAAGGCAAGGTTGCAGAGGAGAACAGGACGAGCGGGTCGAAGTCCTGAACGGGGGGATGAGTCACGGGTCGCGACGGAAGCAAGGAGCGGGACGGGGAAAGAAGGCACAAGAAAGAAGAATTTCTTTTCCTCCCTTTTCAATTTCAACCTCTCGCTCATGACTTAACCTCAAGCCACCAGTGGCGTGAACGACAGGGGTGGTGCCGTATCGCATGGCATACAGCTGGTTCAGCCTCTGCTGCTATATCCTTCCTTTCATATATTGAGTTTCTACCCCTCCTCACTGTACCACTCACCGTCAAGCCACCAGTGGCGTGCACAACAGGGATGGTGCCGTATCGCATGGCGTACAGCTGGTTCAGCCCACGTTCAACACCCCCCCTCCCTCACCCACCCACTCTCTGTCTCCCACGTACCCTCAAGCCACCAGTGGCGTGAACGACAGGGATGGTGCCGTATCGCATGGCGTGCAGCTGGTTCAGCCCACGTTCAACACCCCCCCTCCCTCACCCACCCACTCTCTGTCTCCCACGTACCCTCAAGCCACCAGTGGCGTGAACGACAGGGATGGTGCCGTATCGCATGGCGTGCAGCTGGTTCAGCCCACGTTCAACACCCCCCCTCCCTCACCCACCCACTCTCTGTCTCCCACGTACCCTCAAGCCACCAGTGGCGTGAACGACAGGGATGGTGCCGTATCGCATGGCGTGCAGCTGGTTCAGCCCACGTTCAACACCCCCCCTCCCTCAACCACCCACTCTCTGTCTCCCACGTACCCTCAAGCCACCAGTGGCGTGAACGACAGGGATGGTGCCGTATCGCATGGCGTGCAGCTGGTTCAGCCCACGTTCAACACCCCCCCTCCCTCACCCACCCACTCTCTGTCTCCCACGTACCCTCAAGCCACCAGTGGCGTGAACGACAGGGATGGTGCCGTATCGCATGGCGTGCAGCTGGTTCAGCCCACGTTCAACACCCCCCCTCCCTCACCCACCCACTCTCTGTCTCCCACGTACCCTCAAGCCACCAGTGGCGTGAACGACAGGGATGGTGCCGTATCGCATGGCGTGCAGCTGGTTCAGCCCACGTTCAACACCCCCCCTCCCTCACCCACCCACTCTCTGTCTCCCACGTACCCTCAAGCCACCAGTGGCGTGAACGACAGGGATGGTGCCGTATCGCATGGCGTGCAGCTGGTTCAGCCCACGTTCAACACCCCCCCTCCCTCACCCACCCACTCTCTGTCTCCCACGTACCCTCAAGCCACCAGTGGCGTGAACGACAGGGATGGTGCCGTATCGCATGGCATACAGCTGGTTCAGCCCGCACGGCTCGAATCGCGATGGCATGAGCAGAATGTCGCAGCTGAGGGGACACGAAGGGCATGGCAAGGGGAAAGTGAAACAGATAAAAGGTTGAGAAAGCGAAAGTGTTAAGGGGAGCTGGTTCAACCCGCACGGCTCGAATCGCGATGGTATGAGCAGAATGTCGCAGCTGAGGGACAGAATAGCAAGGGGGATGGTGGGCACCGTGAAGGGAGGCACGGTGAAGGGAGGCACGGTGAAGGGAGGCACGGTGAAGGGAGGCACGGTGAAGGGAGGCACGGTGAAGGGAGGCACGGTGAAGGGAGGCACAGGGAGAATGGCAAAGGGAACAGTATGAGAGGGTGATGGATTCAAAGGGGATGAAAGAAAAGAAAAGCCACTCTCCGCTTGCGGTCATCCTGTGCGTGGTCATCCCTCCGTGCTCTCTCTCACCCATCCGCTCACTCACCCCGCGGTCATCCTGTGGGCCACGGGCACGGAGAAGCCCACCCAGCCAAGCCCTGCACTACCCAGCTCTCCCCTCCTCATGTTCACCTCATCATCGACCTCACTCACCCCGCCGTCATCCTGTGTACCACGGGCACAGAAAAGCCCACCCAGCCCCACTGTGCAGAGCTGGTCTACCCCTGAATTAACCCAGCCCAGCGCCTCCCCCCATGCTCACTCACCCAGCAGTCATCCTGTGCGCCACAGGCACGGAGAAGCCCACCCAGCCGCGGAACTTGTCCCGATACTCGCTCTCCGCCCACGCCATCCATGACTCGTACTCCGCATCGCCACTGCCCAGCATGATCTGCAGGAGGGGGGGAGGAGGAAGGGTGGGAGGAAGAGGATTGGTAGGAGGGCATATGCATGCAAGGGGCAGGTTGATACTCGCTCTCCGCCCATGCCATCCATGACTCGTACTCCGCATCGCCACTGCCCAGCATGATCTGCAGGAGGGGTGGGGGGCAGAAGGGCAGGAGAGGTGTGGATATGCAGGGAAGAGACTGATACTCGCCCTCCGCCCACTCCACGCCATCCATGACTCGTACTCCGCGTCTCCGCTCCCCAGCATGATCTGAAACAGGACGGGAAGAGAGGGAGGGAGGGCATGGGAACGGGATATCCAGGGGAGAGCTTGATACTCGCCCTCCGCCCACTCCACGCCATCCATGACTCGTACTCCGCGTCTCCGCTCCCCAGCATGATCTGAGGGTGACGGTGGGAAAGGGGACACGGGAAGGAGAAGTTGGGAAGGAAGGGGTATGCATGCAGGCGCAGGGGGCAGGCTCATACTCGCCCTTCCGGCCATGGCACCCATGGCTCCTCTCCTCCTACCCCGCATCTCCCCTGCCCAGCATGGCCTGCGTTTGAGGTGGTGCACCAACCGCACCAACTGCGTGTCATTGAGGCATTTATGAGATCCGCTCCGAAACTCATGCTTCAATTCAAACAATCCTAGAGGCGAAGATGGGCTTGTTTGAGGTGGTGCACCAACCGCACCAACTGCACCAACCGCACCAACCGCACCAACCGCACCAACCGCACCAACCGCACCAACCGCACCAACCGCACCAACCAACCGCACCAACCGCACCAACCGCACCAACCGCACCAACCGCACCAACCGCACCAACCGCACCAACCGCACCAACCGCACCAACTGCACCAACCGCACCAACCGCACCAACCGCACCAACCGCACCAACCGCACCAACCGCACCAACCGCACCAACCGCACCAACCGCACCAACCGCACCAACCGCACCAACTGCACCAACTGCACCAACTGCACCAACTGCATGTCATTGAGGCATTTACGAGATCCGCTCCGAAACTCATGCTTCAATTCAAACAATCCTAGAGGCGAAGATGGGCTTGTTTGTATATATGCATATATATGTATAAACTGGTTCATATATATATGCATATATATGCATATCCCCGCTATAATTTCCTCCCCAAGCCTCCACTCACAAACTGCATGTCGCCGGTCATAAGCTCCGGCACTCCCACTTGTAGTATCGATTTGTGAGGCGCCTAAAGAAATGCCCCCCCTGTTGTACTCTTTCCTCCCCCCCCTCCCACTTCTTCCCCCCGCCACTCACAAACTGCACGTCGCCAGTCCTAAGCTCCAGCACTCCCGCTTGAAGCAATTCTTGAGGGCCTTCAAGGAAGACTTTTGAGACGTCTCAATAAGCAAAACTGTCAATCCCATCCGCGCTACAATAAAGCCCCCCTTCCCATCCCCTCCACTCACAAACTGCACGTCGTCAGTCATAAGCTCCGGCACTCCCGCTTGAATAACGTCAGGGCCCTTTTGCCAGTCCAAGCGACCGATGAAGCCGATCTGCCATGGGGGAAATGAGGCAAAGGGGAGACGAGTTCTGCCACAGGTGCCACAGGTGGCTTGTCTATCTGCCAACCAAACAGCTACCACTTCCACCAGAGCCCACCCACTGACTTGACCCGGCACCTTGGCTCGTGTGTCTCACCAGAGGCACGTCAGGTCGGACAGGGAGACCCAACTCCTGCTGCAGTGCTGCTTTGCACGCCACATGTCCCCCCATATTCCCCCAGTCCAGCCCACCCACCCACTGAAAAACTCAGGAACCTCGCCGGTGGCGCGTGTGTCTCACCAGAGGCACGTCTGGTCGGACAGGGAGACCCAGCTCCTGCTGCAGTGCTGCCTTGCACGCTGCCTGTTATGGCTCCAGACCAGAGTGGGACGGGGGGGAGGGGGAAGGGGGGAGAGGGAAGGGGAGAGAGGGAAGGGGGGAGAGGGAAGGGGAGAGAGGGAAGGGGGGAGAGGGAAGGGGGGAGAGGGAAGGGGGGAGGAGGAAAGGGGGAGGGGGAAAGAGGGGGGGGGGGGGAGGGAACAGGGGAAGAGTAGTTGTTGTAATGTGCTGTGTGAGCCAACGGTTTACGCAGGCTTGGATGGGCACAATCCAGGGAGGCTTTTGAGATGTCTCAAAGGTCGCAGGCTTGGATGGGCACAATCCAGGGAGGCTTTTGAGACGTCTCAAAGGTCGCAGGCTTGGATGGGCACAATCCAGGGAGGCTTTTGAGATGTCTCAAAGGTCGCAGGCTTGGATGGGCACAATCCAGGGAGGCTTTTGAGATGTCTCAAAGGTCGCAGGCTTGGATGGGCACAATCCAGGGAGGCTTTTGAGATGTCTCAAAGGTCGCAGGCTTGGATGGGCACAATCCAGGGAGGCTTTTGAGATGTCTCAAAGGTCGCAGGCTTGGATGGGCACAATCCAGGGAGGCTTTTGAGATGTCTCAAAGGTCGCAGGCTTGGATGGGCACAATCCAGGGAGGCTTTTGAGATGTCTCAAAGGTCGCAGGCTTGGATGGGCACAATCCAGGGAGGCTTTTGAGATGTCTCAAAGGTCGCAGGCTTGGATGGGCACAATCCAGGGAGGCTTTTGAGATGTCTCAAAGGTCGCAGGCTTGGATGGGCACAATCCAGGGAGGCTTTTGAGATGTCTCAAAGGTCGCAGGCTTGGATGGGCACAATCCAGGGAGGCTTTTGAGATGTCTCAAAGGTCGCAGGCTTGGATGGGCACAATCCAGGGAGGCTTTTGAGATGTCTCAAAGGTCGCAGGCTTGGATGGGCACAATCCAGGGAGGCTTTTGAGACGTCTCAAAGGTCGCAGGCTTGGATGGGCACAATCCAGGGAGGCTTTTGAGATGTCTCAAAGGTCGCAGGCTTGGATGGGCACAATCCAGGGAGGCTTTTGAGATGTCTCAAAGGTCGCAGGCTTGGATGGGCACAATCCAGGGAGGCTTTTGAGATGTCTCAAAGGTCGCAGGCTTGGATGGGCACAATCCAGGGAGGGGTGCACTTGAATTGAATGAGCTTCAAGAGCTCTCAAAGGTAACATAAACATAAACACACTTGGAAGCATGGAAGGAAGGATGCATGAGTGGGGCGCAGTGGGGCGCAGTGGGGTGCAGTGGGGTGCATTCTAAACCATCCCAGCACATCCAATCCCACTTGCCCACCTCCCTCCCCCCCCCATCACTTTCCACACCATCCCACCTTGCCAGCCATGTCAGCAGCAGTGTACTGCGAGGGAATGTGCTTGTCCGTGGCGGAGTTTGAAAATGCCAAACTATCCCTGTACGCCCAAGGTCTAATCCCACTTGCCCTCCTTCCACCCCATCCCACCTTGCCAGCCATGTCAGCAGCGGTGTACTGCGAGGGAATGTGCTTGTCCGTGGCAGGGTTCCAGTCCACCACGTCCACTCCGTTGGTCACACCTGCAAGCATACATACACAGCAAGGGGGGGGGTTCAAAAGGGGCGGGCGGGGTGCTTCACTGCATGCGTGTCCGTGGCAGGCAGGGTTCCAGTCCACCACGTCCACTCCGTTGGTCACACCTGCAGCGGGGCAAGGGGCAGGGCGGAAAGTCCTCAAGGGTCAAATGGGGAGCCTGAGTTATCTGCCGCACTGCAGGCTTGTCCGTGGCAGGC